TGCACTCCCATGTAGTTCTGAAAACACTAACAAAAGATATTGTCTGCCTCAAAATTGTATCATCAATTTTTGTATCATCAGTTTTTTTGTGTTTTTTGGTCCAATTTTGTACAATAAATTAAACGCCAAACTGGCCATATATCATTTTTGTTATATAAGGGTTAAGAAAATTCTCCAAGAATTCCTTTAAAATATGTCCTACGATGATACAGAGAATTTATTAATTATCCCAAAATAAATGTTGCCTAATTTAAGCGTAATAGGTTATGGTTTGCATTTCATTGTTTAATTATTATTATTGTTTTGTTTAATATAAATATTTTTTTTCTTTATAATTTAATCATCATATATTCGCCTGTATAATTAGTATTTTTTCCTGAAATACAGGATTCTCCTAGTTCAGGTATATTTGTTATATTTTACATTTATTCGCATAATTGGTCTTTAGTTATTCATTTATACAATACGTCATTCAATAAACAATTTTATTATTATTATTATTTATTACTAGTTGTTATTGTGTAAAATTTGGACTACCTATTTAACTATAACGCTTTTATAGATAAGTCATTTGAAACAGCAGGTTTCGTCATCGAAGTTCCTCTATGACGACTTTTCTTGCATTTATTTAAACTACTTAGGCTTCATTAAGCAAAAGACGTCGTCGACAGTAAAGTTCATTTCACCTATTAATACCATTAGATCGTAGGCGATTTACTTTTAGACGAAAAGTATGTACACTGTGGATTATGTATGGTGTTTCGTATTAATTTCAAAAAAACATTTGTATTTACAGTATAAACATTTGATGGCCGGCAGATGAAGTGTAATTCGATGAAACGTGTTTCGATGTACAGTACTTACTGAACCCGATTAAAGTGATCTTCTTAAATTTTATTTAAGGAGTTATTAAATTTTTTTTAAGTCATCACAATAAACACAATATATCCATTCCCGTCGTAGCTACAAGCCTGATGTTATTAACTCTTGGAAATTAGTTATGTGAGACACGACAAAACATTGTACGGCAGTAAATTTATGCATTGGCCAGCCGAATGACACTCGAGTCTTGGCCTACGACTACGTGGGAGTTCCCTATTGGTCGTGCACCAATGAGGATCAAGCAAGACCCGCAGATAAACCCGCCTCGGAGTGTTAGCAGTTCGAGGAACTGCTCGATTAATAGCATTGCTGTTAATAAATTGCGAGAACGCGGAGGTCGAAGTCGCACTTCGCGACGCCATAAATCAACCGTTTTGTTAATTTAATTTTAAATAACAAAAAAAACATGGACACTTGTTTACTGTGCGCTTAGGTATGTGTTATAATATTATATGTACGATTATGTCATTTTACTGGTGACACTGTTCAACTATTTGCAGCTGTTTTACTTTAACTTTAGAGCATGTTAATTACATATTACATCTATATATGTACACAAGCCTACATTAAAATGTACCACATACGATAACAGTGTTGCTACTTTACTAGTATGTTCACAACTTTTAATCATAATTTTTTTAATAATATTTAGTGACGGGGCGAACAAGTCGTGCGCCTGACGGTAAGCTACACGCCTGTCTATAACATTAAATCGCAAAGATCTGAGGGGCATTGCCACTGCGCCCATCACCCCGAGACATATGTCGCGAAAAGTCCTATGTGCCTGTAATTTCGCCAGCACCCGTACCCTTCAAAACCAGAATACAGTAATGCTGACATTACTGCTTGGCGGGAGAAACAGGTACTTTCACAAGGAGCTCTACTGCTACTAAAAATTGCGGATTATACATCAAAATATTTATTTCTGCAGGAAATAATTTTAACTACGAAAACATCCGTTAATCTTTGATATTTGCATTATGACAATTCTTCTTGGTAGTACACCAACAGCATGATATAAAAATGTAATGAAGATGACACATCGGTCGCAAAACGTATGCGCTCTCTCACGCGGTTTTTGTACGGGTGTACTCGTAGACCGCCGCGGGCGCCGTCGCCGGATGCTGCGTCTTTCAATAAATACCTTATGTGTAAATAATCATGTGCTATTCGCCAATTACTGAACACTGTATATCTATTGTCTAGTTCAGGAGAAAAATATAATAACTTCATGAGAGTAACTATGTTACAAGTACATTGACATCATGAAATGATGTTAAAAGCCTAAATGGCACCATTTTAACAGTTCACATGTAAACTTCCAAAAATAGTATAACGAACAACTGAGCGAGGGACGCTCTATCTTCAACTACTGCTATTATAAACTCGGCGCCAGATGATTGAGTCAACTTGCGGAACACTGTGAATCACATTTCCGAGTACACATTGATTCACTTCCGTGATTTAACTGTTGGGTTACTTTAACCGTGCGAATAGCCAAGTGTACCAATGTGCCATTTGGCAATTTTTGCGATTACCGAGAAATTCAGGACAGATGAGATGATTCATTTTGGAAACTGTGCACTTGTTTACTGTAAAAGTTTCTTTATTGATGACTACGGACACTTGTGTAAGAATTAGTCAGAGGCCTAACGCGACGACGAAGGTGCGTACGCGGATCTCGACTGTTCTATGTCCCCTTCACCCACTTTCGCTGAGATATTGCCAGATTACTACACGTTGATCATTACGTGGGAACTCGTGTTGCAAAGCTAAAAAGATGACCGATTGGTATATTTAGGAGAAGTTCTTATGATGTCGCAGTACTACCTACATGTTGTCAGAAAGAACGCTTCACTCTTTTAAAAGGTAGTTTTTAACATACCTACACTATGTCACGAAATCAAATCTAATTGTATTTTAATTTTCGTACAGCATTTCATAGATTCCCACGACGCGGCGTGGCCCCGGGCTGGCACGCGGCGCTGACGCAGATTCCGCACATTCTCTTCCGAACCAGTTCCTACATCCGTTGACCGCGCGCCAGCAGCGTAACACCATGACAATGTGTGCTGGTATCTCTGAATACGCCTCATTCGATCTATTTTTATGCTTCTCACTTTTCGTATTCCTTCATTAGTTATCCTTTAAAGTTTGTAAGTAGTAAATTTTCCTGAACGCGATTATATTCGTTTTCTCTCGCGATAATTTACTAGTAGGTAAAGTAGTATGTATGTTGTTTAAGATCACCTCAAACAGCTACCGTTTTTTAAATTCTTCAACAATTTTCTTCCCATTTGAGCAGGGAACGCCACATGTGATTCACGTCATAGTTGCGCTGATACTCATTCTTCAAATATCTATATTTCTTGCCAAAATGCCAATAGATGTATTATTACTATTCACTGATGATGTGTTCACCGAGGAACTGAACTAGTGCACAATGCCCAGCGTTTGCTTCTCTTCCATCTTGATTAAAATTAAATGCAATGTAATGTTCTTAAAGTAATATTTATCACGAGTCACGAAACAAACCTAATTAAACGATGGATTGTTGTTATCACCTCTCGGACGAAAACACATTTTATTATTAATGACATCTTCGTTTGTTAACATTTGAAAATCGCGTTGTAAGTATTTACTCATCGAATTAAAAACATAAAAAATTGTCTAAGTCAAATCATAGTTATTTTTATGATACTCAGTGACGGAACGGCCAAGTCGTGCACCTGATGGTAAACGACACGCCTGTCCATAACGGTTGCAGTGCCACTCAGTGATTTCAATCGCAAAGATCTGAGAGGCACTACCACTGCGCTCGTCTCACCCTCACCCTGAGACTTAAGTTGACAAGTCCCATCTGCCTGTAATTTCACCAGCATTCTTACCCTTCAAAACCGGACCACAGTAATGCTGACATTACTGTTTGGCGACCGAAATATCAATGAGCAATGAGCTCTTCAGAATGAGCTCTTCTGCTACTAAGTTTACGTTCATTACTAAAATTATCATCTATTTAAGATATCGCTGAGTTTTTGGAAAGTTTCATCTCTTCCTGCTGTCCCCGGAGAGATGAAATGAGCAGCTGTTGAATTATTCGCGTATTTAGATACGAATCTCGCACTATTACAGTGGACGCTCTGCGATAATAGGATTCCATTTGGGAATTTGGCCGGAAAAGTGTGAAATATTACTATAGCTTCTTCTGGCAATGATTCTGCTAATAATAAGAGACAAAGTTGAATTCTTGAATATTGCATAATTGAAAAAATTAAACATTCTACAAGATATTTCAATTTGATTCCAAATTATATCGCAAAAAACTTTGGTAAGTATCATCAACCGACTTACATATACGTCCCACTCCCAAACTTTGGTATACCTACCTATTTATAGAAATCCCATATTTAGAATTTTTATTATTTATATCTAATTGTAGCTAATTGAACTTTCGATTTTCTACTAATATTGCGTTTTAAGAGTACTTAATTGAACGTAGTCTAGTCATTAAAAAAATCTCCCGACGACTACAGGGTATAATAAGCCTTCCAAGTAAAACAGCGGCGCCGAAAAGACCGCTACAACAATCATGAATAACTATTTAAATTAGTTGTGTAACGTTAGTAAGTTTTAACCACCAATTAGCTGTCGATATCAGTCGTTATAACTCCTGCTACGAAACAAAATCGATGTGATTTCCGCGAAATGCGTGAGTCAGCGCCTGCGGCTCGGTGCGTGAGAGCGGCCGCGGCCGTGCCGTCGCCGTCGCTTGCCGCATCAGAGTGAATGGCGCGAAATGACTCAGCGCGCGGTCCATTCATAAGATTTAACGCACTCTGCCGCGGAGTTACATAGTACACCGCGATAGATGGCGCCACTTTAACCATGTACCTATGCCGTCGTAGGAATCTTTTTGTTGTTGATTAAAATATGGGTTTTGTATTATTGGTTTTCGAATGTACGCCGTAATGGACGCATGGATGGAAGAGAATAACTTCACGATTTCTCTACATTTAGAGTAGGTTATAGCAGGCGCGTTCGTTGTATAAAAATTTAGATTTTTGTAATGTATGTAGTATGCTAATGTGTTAGACTTGCATAACAATATCTGTACTCACCGTAATGCAGAGCAGCGCTGCTGGTGGAGGGCGGCTGCTGGTGCTCGGGCAGCGGCGGCGGCGGCGGTGCACCTCTCGCCGTCGCGACCGCATGCTGTAGGTATGCGTGGAAAATGCGCGCCGCCGAAATGTCGCCGTCACACACCTGCACACACGCAAATTACATTATATTAATAATGAAGGCGTTAGTATCACCGTCAATCCTTGCCATTTACTTAGTTATACCTCTGTTCATTTTCAAATTTAATCACTCGTACATAATCATCGCTTTATATAATGTTAAGTAACACATAGGAAGGTCAATTTTCAATATTGGAAACAGGAATGAAAAAGAGGCCGGCCCATTTGCAGTGGTATTTAATGTAAAAAACATCAGTTAAAAGCAGTTTTGTATGAATTCGTTGAAAAGAAACTTGAACGGATACAATGAGTTTTAAGTAAGTACAAATATTGAGTTTAGTAAAGCATCAGGTTGAGCTTCCGTTAATTGTAGTATTTTTACTTTTCCAGGGAGGGATTTAAGGTAAATGTACCAATCTTTGTCACTGTCCCGATGTATTCACTTCTTGATTTTTTTTTTTTAATGAAGGAAACAAATATTCATTTAACTCCAAAACAGTGTTACGAATTCCGTTTACAAGCTTTCATCGATTCACTCAATATTTTTTCATGCATATATAGCACACCTATGGCGACAATTTTTGGTGATTAGAGTTGAAAGCGCGTTGGTGTTATTCCGAAAATCGTTAAGACTTTGAGTAGTTTATTACTTGGAATTCTGTTAATTACCAATCTGTAAGTTTTTATGAAAAGTATCAGGTAACTGTACAAACAATTTATTTTGTGTGTATTTATTGATATATATCTTTTATATTTTATTTTAGCGGCATGTCAAACACTGGTGCAAACGTTTTTCAACGTTTAGTAGTAGTTGACATCCATATCAAGCACTCGTACACATGAATACCTATTTTGTAAAACTTAATTTCGACCATTTGGTAAGGACGGAGAACTTAGGTTCGGATTACACTGTTAGTGACAAGTTTCTATCGCTGCAAGATGAAAATATTTTTTAATGTTATTTTAAACGATATAAATTTTAAAACATTATGATCGTGTGACATTTAAGTTTAATTTTTGTGATAAGTTTTTTGCAGCCTTATTGTAAATGTACTTACTAATTTTAATAAAAGCATCTTGCTTGGTTTTGGCTTTCGTTCTTCTTTAAATTTATTGTTATAAAGTAATCAATGCAATTAAAGAACTACGAAATCTTAACATAATGTCCCGTGAAATACTAGTACATTGATTTCATTTTGCCATAGTCATCTATCGTGACATTACAAATTTTGTCTGTCATACACTGGTACTACTTTAGAGGTTGCGGAAAACTGGAATATTTTAATAATGCTACGATTATTTTAAATTTTATAGTTGTTAGAAGATAAAAATTGCAAACCGTTTAATATGTTTTCATGCCTAGGTAGTCAGTATGACCGATAATTAAGAACTTTTTAGCAAAACACGTGAGGGACATTTACCTTAAGCCATCGAGTATATAATGCCTTATGCAGTTTTGTAAACCAAAAGCCCAACTTTCATGTTTTATGCGTAATCAAATGCGGTTTCCACAATCGATGTTTACCGATTGAAACGTCCTTTCGTAGCTGTGACAACCACCAACCTGGGTCCAGTTGTCTACAGTGAGCGCGAGGAGTGCCTTCCCGGTGTCGGGCAGGAGGTGCCGGCGAGGTGCGCGGACGGCGAACTTGCGCGCCACCCAGCGCGCGCAGCGACGGACGTCCGCTGCGTCCCATTTCTCCGGGTCTGCGGAACAGGTCCCGTATTTCATTTTAGTGTCTAATTTACATTTCATAGGTCAAGCTTTGGTGCGATGCATCAGTGAGTCCAATGTAGAGGACCTAGAAGGCATAATGAGAGAAGAAACTTGCGTAGTTGGAAATATTGTTTACATTATAATTTAACAAACGTCTATTAAAATTTAAATAAATCCGTATGTTGTTTTAGTGGTCGTAGAAACAAAGATTTAGTAAGGAATTATTAATATCAATAAATATCTATTTAAAGCCCCAACTAACTATTTACCAAATTTCGATCTAAGCTCTGGTCTACGTCTACTACCAACAAATAATTTTGAAACAACACTCAATTATTCCATTTGACTCCGTCACTTTAACCAACCACAGACGACTCGATGCCTTTTCATCTCGTACACGAGTGTGCTGTTCCGCACAGCACACTCGCATAGATTCTTTTGTTTCCTTGGTAGCATCGAGTATACGATTTTTGGTACATTCCTTTACTTCAAATTAAATTCTTCTTTGCATTATTTCGCCGTGACTAAAATAGAATGTAAAAAGACCGTTAAATTCTGGCTTAACAGTAAAACTTACAGTGAAACTGAGGGCTTGCTGGAAGTTGTTTCATAATTATTTTTACAGAGGTAACCATTAATTTATAACTACTAATAATAAATAATAAAATTATTTTATTATTAAAGATACAAAATCTCTTTTTAAGCTGTGATATAAAGATATTTCCCCAAAGAGATGCTTAAAACCTATGTACTCATTTACTTAGTTTAGGCATCGCGATTACACGTTAGGTTCTAATATTAAAATGTATTAAGCGCTACTATGAAGATTATATAATTAAGGTTCCCTTTTTAATGCTTATTTTAATACTATAGTAGCTTTATTTACATTTGTTTTACTTGTATTGTATTAGATTAAGTTATATTGAAATAAATGTACTATTATTTATCTATCTTTACTCTCGTATGTTAAGATATATACACACATAGGGAAATTACAATTAAATAATCTCCGTTGCTGTTTACTGATTAATTGTTATTGTTCTGCCTATTAATCAATTGCCAACGCAGTCTTTTTTACTTTATTGCCAAATATTAAAGTCGAATTTTACTTCGCAATGCAGCTCGTAGGCACAAACTTTCAATTTTTACATACGAAATATAGAAAATGAGTGGAGTTCTTAGGTTTTTGCGACTGTTTTTGCGACACAGAAATTAAACTATTTTTTCCGGATTTAAATCGCGTATATTTGTTTTTTCAAATAAACCAACGTTTCGGGCCCTTTACAGGTCCCATGGTCATGGTTGGTCATGGTTATTATATCATGGACAGATTAAACCGCACGTTGACGCAGATCTGCATCTCCGCCACCGCGCGCGCGATTCCGCGTCTCAGTCAGTGTGTTAATCGCCTAAAGCAAAACATATAGGCATATAGTGCCCACTTTATTCATTCTGCTGTTCAAACATGCATATAGATTTTTTTTTCAAATGTTGCAATGTTACTGAAGTACGCAGTCGTGTTTTTGACACAAACACATTTAGTAGGTAATCATTACCTTACATTTTTTGCAAGATTTAATTGTATAACTCTATTATGATTGTATAATTATAAAGGGTTTTTTTTTATGATATACATTGACGGGACGAACAAGTCGTGTGCCGGGTAGTAAGCGATACGCCTATTCATAACAGCTTTAACAGTTTTCAAGTGTATATTTTGTTATTGTTAATTTTGATATTATCATAACTATTCCTTTACATTTGTTTTACTTGTATTAGATTATGTCATTATGAAATATAGTAGATTGTACAACAAGTGCATAAAACGCTTCATTTTACCCGAGACGAGTACGTACGTATACGAGTGGATACTTAAGTCGAGGGTAAAATGAGTTTTATAAACGAGTTTATACACTTTGCTTTTCACTTGGATTGCGAGGAAATTAAACAGCAATATTACAAATAAACGCTAACGATACGTAGTTGACCACAGAATGTCCGAAAGAACTTAGTTACTCGTTGGTTAACGGCACCTACTAACAAACTTTACAGTTCCTCATTTGGTCTAAATATGAAAATAAATAGAATACGTTAAGTATTCTGTGTGAATCAAACAAATAATGCACCAAGGAATACAATATTAAACGCATATATTTTTAAACGTTGTGCCTTTACTAACAGAAGAAAAGGGTAATTTTAAGGTAAATTTTTTGTACTCAATTTTGGTGACAATTTCTTTTTATTTAAATATTTAAAGAATATCATCATGAAGTATTATTTAAAATTCGAGTGTGGTAACCTGAAATATTCTTTAATATTTCACGATATATTCGAGTAATTAAATAATAAAAAATTTACACTGGACTAAACTTACCTGAAAATTACTGAATAATAGTATAGAGAACGTAATAGTTATGCACCAACAGGTACACAAATTTTCATACTTAATTAACAAAATTTTACCCAATTACAAACCCTTTTGTCACAAACCCTTGTATGGCTCGAAATATAATTAGATAACATCTTGTTGTTATACCCTGTATAAAGTCCGGTAATTTATTTGCATTGCTTTTTGAAAGATCCAAAATCATAGGGCAATCATATGAAAAAGTTATTAGTCGATGCTCTTCAGACCTAGCTAGAAAAGTGAGCACACGGGTAAATGCCGACGGCACGACGGCGATATCTTAAGATTATGCCTCTTTGCAAACACACATGTCGTAGTAGCGTAAACACAAATCAATTGAGTTCTATGTAAATAATACGTAAATTTACTGGAACTACTTAGGTATGACTCCGACCACGTGGAAATCCCGATTAGTAAACAAACCACTTTTGCATGTAGATGACCTCCTGTGTAGAACTGATTCACTCTCCAATTTGGTAACCACAGATTTGTAAATTTATAACCAAACTTTGATCACAAACACACAAACACTAGATAGGTACCACAGTAGCGGCGCTCGGGAGGGATGGCAAATTTGAATTACCGGCGGGTACAGTGTCATCCCCCGAGTCGGTGTCGGAGTCCGTGGGGGGTGGGTCCATGGAGACATCGCGGGGCGCCAGGGTGAATGGACACCTGTATCTCTGGCGGTGTTCGAAGCACTAGGGTCGGCGGCGCGCGCTCGCAACGCTTTTTATCGGGCAGGCGCAGGCGGCGGTGCGGCGTTACGCTGTGACGTCGCGGATTCGTCACCGCCCGGCAGCTGTGATGACGAGGAAAACGCTTTCCGAGAAGCTGCGCTCGCACAACCGTTTCGTTGTCTGCCTTGGTGCTCACGCGACATTCACTTTTATTAAGTCGAAGATTACATCGGTTATCGTACTGATTGTGAATCTGTTCAATGAAGTTTTAAGTTCAGAAGGAAGCTTGAATTTACGCATCTACTACGCCGCCATAAGCAATAAACCGAAATTAAAATAAAATTAATTTGAAAATCAATAATACTTACATGTTTATTTTGCTCTATAATACCACATATAGGTATACTTGATCCGAATTTTGTGTTAAACAAAACACAATATTTCAAAACATATCGTGCATAGCCCACGATTCTGCAACTGCTGGGAAGATTGCAATAAATTTTAAAAATCAAGTTACTAAAGTATTTGTGTGGCATGAGGGACCTTGATTAGTAGATTCGGAATAACCGCAAAGCTAATATAAAGTGCAAGCCGCGTAGAATGACGCGCGGCGCCCGCGCATGCTAACACCGAGAACCGCATGCGTCTAAAACATGCGTCCGTCGCTGCGGGAAACCCTATTTACAAAGGACACGTAAGTTCACATATTGTTTCGCTGACACGCATCAGCATCCTAACAACAATTTACAATATCTTTTTGGTTTCAATTTAGTATTCTTTAGCTCTAGTTAAAAACGTATTTCAGTACACTCGGGCAAAATTTTATAATTTTATAATATGTAGTAAATATTTTTTCCGTGCATTTTATGAAACCTACAGAAACAGTTGTACATGCCAATGTCGGCATGGCTACTATTATGAAAGTGTAGTATATGTTCTATTAAGAAGATTATGACGAACCTCTCCAGTCCCTCAAAAACCACAGACACGGAGGCAAATGAGAGGCTGGAGAGAGTCGATCAGTAGGTACGTTTATCACGGACATGTTCTATCCTTTGGCAATGAGCATCAGACTAAGGAGATCTCAAAAAGAATCCAGCTGGAATGGGCTGCGTTTGGCAAGGTATGTCACATACTTAAATCAGATAAAGTTCTACAGTGTCTGAAGACCCACTTGTTTAATCAATGTGTTCTGCCCACCACGTACCTACGTGACGTATGGTGCCGAGACATGTTCACGTAGGAGTCTGTATACAGGTTGAAATTTGCACAGAAAGCCATGGAACGCGCCATCGCTCGGCATCAGTCTTGTAGACCGAGTTCCGGACGTTGAGATTCGACGACGGACGAAAGTCCAGGATGATGGAACTCGGATCATGGAACTCAAACGGGATTGGGTGGGACACATAGCAAGGCAAGTTGATGACAGGTGGAGCAAGATGTCGACTGATTGGTGGCCGAGGATGGGCAAAAGAAGCGTCGGGAGCCCAGTTGCAAGGTCGACGACATAGTAGGCGTCGCGGGGCGTCAATGGATACGGCTATCACAGGATCTTGGCGGATGGCACAAATTTCGGGAGACCTATACCCAGCAGTGAGTGAAATCAGGCGGTGGATGATGACGATGACTATATCTATTATTCGTGGGATTAGGTATGTGTGATCTCCGTCTTAAATTTTTAAATACCACAACTACTATGTACCACAATTGTAAAGTTGGTCACAGGTGCAAATTTATTGAGCAAAACCTAAGGCTATGAATTAATTCAAAACTAAGCGTCCATATTAGAAAAATCTATTATGGGGGGTCAGTCATTAACCGTGGCAGTTATGAAACCTTGACATCCAATTTCAAATAAGTACTGTATTTTAATTTTATACAATGTAAGTAAAATAATATAATACAAAATAAACGTAATAAGTGCATGTGACACTTATTTGACTACTTATACAAAGAAAGAAGATTAGCATCTTATTCAGACAGTTCTATCTTGCGAAGTTCAAGATAAAGTAAGGAAGTAGTAGATGTAAATTCGCAGATAAAAAGAGAGACCAGTGAGTCACTGTTCATTGCACACTTTCATAAAATCGCCTAGCAAGTCGTCTTATAGGTAAGTCTGAGTACATTTAATATGCTATCGTATCAGTGATAAGATGATTGTGAAGAACCATTCGACTTTTAGCCTATGTAATATTGGTAATCTGTGTGAGTCACTTTGTTGATTGTTAACACGACGAGGTACGAAATTATAATATTATCGAGTTCTTAGGTTTTCGCGATTGTTACACATAGGAAATGAAACTATTTTTCCGGATTTAAATCGCGTATATTTGTTTTTTCAAACAAACCGCCGTTTCGGGCCCTTTACAGGTCCCATGGTCACGGTTGACTACCGTGGAGTCAACCGTGAAAAATAGATTCATTACCTATTATAATGTTACGTGTGTAAAATTAAAATATCTACAAAACGCTCCCTTAAATGGGTTTTAGAAAGTTATATTGACGGCAATGTAAAATAAATTAGATGTAGATGAGAACTGATCTAAAGCTATGGTAGTCTAATGGTCTGACCTACTGCCTCTCAAGCAGAGGGCCGTGAGTTCGAATCTGGGCTCGCACCTCTCGACTATCGGAATGTGTGTGCGAAATTCATTATGAAATGAATATATATATAATATCATGAGAATTTCGATGAACTTAAAAGCCTAAAATCTTCGTCTTAAAGGAGAACCGTGCCCAGCAGTGGGACGTATAAATGGGTTGATGATGATGATGAGTACTGATCATATTGAAACACAAGCTAAGGCCCATTCTTTATTGAAACTTAGTTATAAAAGTACGTTATGTTATACCTAATCGTAAGTATATGGCAGGGCAATGGCAGTCTTGAAACTTTATTATATTATATTTCATCTAAATCCGTTTAGTCGTTACCAAAAACAAGCATGAAAAGCAAAAATGGAAAAAGTATACGCAGCGGTTGCACGTCCTCCCACTAAAAGTGCACCTCACTAACATCCAAGGTCTGCATTCAAGTGTCGATTCGGTCCACTACCTCCTTGAAATCGACAAACCGCAGCTGCTGTTCCTCACAGAGACGCAGATCAGATGTCCGACAGACGCAGCGTACCTCAGCTACCCCGGGTATACTCTGGAGCACAGGTTCGTACCTCGTGCCGGAGTCTGTGTGTACTTTCGCGATTACATCTGTGTCAAGCGTCTCAAGAACTTTGAGGCACCGAGTTTTTCTGTTTTGTGGCTTCTGGTAGACACAGGAGTTACACAAATAGTGTACTGCTGTATTTACCGATCGCACAGTGGAGATCAAGAGACTACCTAGCTGTTCCAATATCTGAGTGAGACATCTGAGGAGATTCAGCATACCCAGCGGCGCAACTAGTCATTCTCGGGGACTTTAATGCACACCATCAAGAATGGTTGTTCCCATACCAGAAGGCCGATCACGCTGGGAGAGAGACGCGTAAACTTGCGTTAACGCTAAGCCTATCCCAGATTGTCAGTGGCGCCACTAGGATACCAGATGTTGAGTCTCACACGGCTAATTGCTTGGACCTTCTGCTGACAACTGATCCGGACCGATACTCTGTGGTTGTGGATGCCCAACTGGGCACGTCCGACCATTAGGACCCCCTGAACGGGTCCTAGTGATATGTCGAACCTAGTGGTATGTGACGGGAGTGGCGATACAAGTTAGCAGATTGGGACGAAATGCGCCATTTCTTTGCGTCACATCACTGGCAGGCGTGCTTTACTTCAGGAGACTCGTCGAGCTGCGCTGATGCTGTAGTCGAAGTCTTGCGTTTGGGTATGGAGTATTACATACCATACTGTGATGTACCCAATGGACCCCAAGCTCGTCCATGGTTTAACGCTGATTGTAGTTGTGTTAAAGCACGTGAACATTCCGCGTACCAAGCTTGGGCAGATGCTCGACTACGCAAAGCTCGGAGTACTCAGAATTTGAAGAAAGCTTTTAATATGGCCGCCAAGAAGTGCAAAAGCGTGTTACGTAGGGCCAAGTTCGACCATGTGCGCCGCATAGGAGCCAAGCTTGCCCTATATCCAGCCGGCAGCAAATTGTTTTGATCCCTTTCCAAAGCGGGCGAATCTAACTTTTGTCGCTCACCTTTGCCACCTCTGCTGAGGCCGGATTTCTTGCTGGCTCATACTGCGGAAGAGAAGCCGAATCTCTTTGCCTCACTCTTTGCAGATAGTTCGCGTCTGGATGCCGCAGGAAACCTACCACCTACTTTACCTCAGGTTGGGTGCATGCCAGTTCGCATACGCCAAAAAGAGGTACTTAGAACTCTGCAAAATCTAGATGGAATTCCAGCAATAGTCCTGCGTAACTGTGCGCCTGAGTGGTTTCCTGTTCTCACACGCCTGTACCGCCTCTCACTTGAGACTGATGTAATTCCCAGGTCGTGAAAGCTTGCAAACGTGCAACTTGTGCCAAAAAAGGGAAGTAGACCGTGTCAACTATAGACCTATCTCAGTCACTTCCATACTCTGCAAGACTCAACTCGTGTACTCAACAATCGTCCCCTATCATACCTTGAAGACAACGACCTCCTCAGTGATCGCCAGTACGGATTCCGACGAGGGCGATCTGCTGGGGATCTTCTTGTGTATGCCTGTCACATATGGAGCGAGGCTATAGAAAAGCAAGGCGAAGCACTTGCAGTGTCTATGGACATTTCTAAAGCCTTTGACAGGGTCTGGCACGCAAGCCTTTTAAGTAAGCTTCCCTCTTATGGGTTTCCCTCTTATGGGCTTCCCACTGACCTTTGCAATTGGGTCTCGGATTTCTTGAGCGAACGTTTGATTCGAGTGGCTTTGAAGGCTACTCTTCCGAACATATGGTGATAGATGCCGATTCCTCAGGGTTCCGTACTGCCTGCAACTCTCTTTTTGCTACATATCAATGATATGTTAATTCCAGGTACCTTTGCGTATGCTGATGACAACACAGTTGTAGATAGGTACTTGACCAATGCAAGGGTCAGTGGAGAGGAAATCCAGTCTTGTCGAGATTCCATGGTTA